TTAGTACCTAGAATTGGCTGAACCTTCATATAAATACCTCCTTTCGAACTAATATTTTCTCAATTCTATAGCAAACATGTTTTTAATATTTTTGATACGAAACCAATCTTTTACAACTCGATTTAATTTGCTTGATTTTGACACAAATTCTGTATATATATATTTTTTTTTTTGAATTTCAAGTTCTTCCAACAATCATAAGCTATAATTTCTTCAAACTCTCAGAATGTTATTTTTGTGTGAAAAAAATAACCTGTGTATGGAAAGTGTGTCGAAATATATTTGTATCGCAAAACTAACGTCGGATTCGGTTTTCTCGTACCCAATACATATTTTTGAGTGTTTAGGAATACATTAAATATCACTTTTGGAAGAAAAATTGAATTGCAAAGCGGCACTCAATCTTGAACCGACATGCACATTTTGAAACGACATTCACGTTGACATTCCAAAAGTTTAAAGAAATTTCCATCAAAAACATATAAAATTTTCGTATTTTTTCGTGAAAAATTCAAAATTTTATATATTTTTGATGGAAATTTCTTTAAACTTGGTGAGATTATTTATTTGGAAATAAAAAAAAACTTACCAAAAACAATTTTTTTTTCTTTTTTTTCGACACTCACACAACAATTATTTCTGACTGACTGAAGAATAGCAACTGAATGCTGAGTGATGTGATCACAGGCCTTTAATCTTATTTATTTCTGGTATTGCCAGATGGCCAGATGGATAGAGAGCGTTTGTGGTTCGCTGACCCAATAAAAGATGGCGACACACAGAGACAGACACACAGACACACACACAACTAACGCTAATGAACCAACAAAGATGTCTGGTGAAATTAAGAGAGAGAGAGAGAGAGAGAGAGAGAGAGAGAGAGAGAGAGAGAAGAATCGAAGGGAGTTAAATTTCTAACTAACCGACAAAGGAAAAAAAAACAAACACACACGAAAACAAATTGCAAAGAAATACAACGGCTTTCATTTATAATGATAGAAAAAATTATCCCATTTCGAAAATTCCATTTTGCGTTTTTTTATGGAGGGTAATTGTTTATTTTATTTTTTTCTCTTGTTTTTTTCTCTAATGGTTTTTTGCATGCATTGTCTATATGTTTTTACATTTTGAATGAATGGGGAATTTTTGTTATGAATGAAAAACTGTATTCATTCAAAGACAAAAACAAGACAATATGCACACGCAGCAAACAAATGAGAGACGACCGAAAAATAAAATAAACAATAACCCCTCATAAAATCCAAAATTTCGAAATTTTCATTTTTGGTTAAACGATTAGGTTTGAAGTGTATTACACACCGACAATTGAATTAATGATAGACTTTACAAGAAGCCCAAACATCCCAAGTTCAATTAAAATAAATGTTCAGACGGCTCCTTTAGGCGATCTTATCAATATTTTATGAATCCACACAAAATACACCTCGATGATTTTCACTTGATTTCACTCACTCTCATACATCATCGTCTGAGATGATGGAATTCGGTTAGGGATGTCTCTCTGTGTTAATTGGATTTAAAACTGGAAAAAAACTAATGGATATGATTTAATCACATTCGTATGCATATTCACTACACGCCGTCCAATTCATGGACATTGTGCTGAACATGAGTTCACACATAATATATGCAATAACAACATATTTATGTATGTTGTTTAACATTGTGCCGTGTGGCTCACTTATAGAGTGGTCGAGTTTTGACTCGTGACAACGTCATGGAAATGAATGAGAAAGCTGCAAAATTGCAATCACAGACGCAGTAACGCCATGGGCAAGCGACGCGATAATTGCTCATTACACAGCATATAATTACCGCTAATTTTTCTATATTGAATTTATACATTTAAGTATAGCGGTTCGAAAAGTGCAACCAAAGGGACGGCAATGGACCTGAAAGTGTTGGCTGTGTTGAATTCTTTTGACGAATATGCCGATAGCGAACGGTTTTCTCGATCGTCAAAACTAAAAAACAGATGAACGTGATCAGAAGATTAGAAGAGAGAGAACATTTAATTTTCAATCGCATCGCACATTGAAATTGTGAAATCAATTTTTGGATACCGAATATCTGTGTTACGTGTATTTTATTAAATGTATGTGTGGACTTGAGGTTCGTATAAACTCATTAGCAAATTTCCGTAAATCATAAACCATAACCAAATTTGGTAGATGGCCGTTTCGTGTCCGTGTATGTGTTAACCGCCGGTTAATAACCGGTATATAAATGTTTTCTGTCCTTTTGTGTTCGGCTTTGGTTTCGTTTTGTCTCCATTACTAAACACTTTCAAATCGAGTGGACGTCGAACAAAACTTTTTGAACCATCATTTTGTTGTGCCATAGAATGCACAGATCGAGCCGTTGGAACTAAAATACGAATATTAATAGAAAATACATGAGTTTGGCATACTTTCAACTGTGTAAATTTGTTGACTTACGTGACGTTTCGTATACCGGTGAATTGGTCAATTGACTGAGCGGCTTCACTGAGAGCCTCATTTCGTTTTTCTGTGCACAACCAAATGGTTCACAAGTTTCGCTGTTCATTTTTTGAATTTTTCGTGGTTTTTGCTGCGGTTGGGACTTACGTTTTAGACCATTTGATGTTTGTTTTTTTCCAACAATTGGTGTTTGGTTGTTTTCCACGGCGCTATGTTCTTTTCGTTGGTGCCGAACCAAACACGATTGAAAAGCATATGAAGCATCGCACTCTTTGCACGCAAAACGCTTCTTACCATCTGAACGTGGATGCTCCTTTTCATAATGATCCAAAAAATTGCTTTCTGGTATCTCCAAAAGGCACTTTGGACACGGCACTGAATCCATTTTTCAAAAAATGAATCGTTTGTACAACAAAAAATAATTGTTTCTTGAAAATTTTTCTTCAACTTGTTGTAAGCGTGACTGCTACTGAAATGCTGTTTGAATGAATGACGTTTGCAATGGCGGCAAAAATCATACAAAACACATACAGTTGAACACACATATACACTCACTCAGAAAATCAGAGCATTGTATTCAACACAAAAACAAATGTCGATACGAACGTTCGTGGACATTGTAGCGTGTTTGCTGTTTGTTCGTGAGCGCGCATATTTTGCATTTGTTATTCTTGTTCGTTCGTGTTCACACAAATCACAAACGAACACACACGAACACGAACAGTTCGTGTTCTTGGGAAGCCGAAATTCGAACTAAAATGATTTCACTTCACATGCCCCTCTGCCAAATCGACAATTTTCAATATTTTTCCAAACTCTCGAAGGTTTTGAGTTCTTAGAGAGCACTCTCACTGGCTTCTCAGTGTCTACACTCATTTGCATAACTTTCAATCTTGACTTTTGGCACGTGAAATTGGCTTGACCTTCATATAAATACCTCCTTTAGAAATAATATGATTTCAATTCACATGCCCCTTTGCCAAATCGACAATTTTCAATATTTTTCCAAACTCTCGAATGTTTTGAGTTCTTAGAGAGCACCCTCACTGGCTTCTCAGTGTCTCCAATCGTTTGCATAACTTTCAGTCTTGACTTTTAGTACGTAGAATTGGCTGAACCTTCATATAAATACCTTCTTTCGAACTAATATTTTTTCAATTCTCGTTTAGAATTTGCGACGTATAAAATTATTTTTTTGAAAAATTTACTATTGAAAAATGAATTGACCGGGCACTAATTTCGCTCGTGTTTGTACGGACATTTTGACCGTCCGTACGTAGTATACTTCAACTGTTTTTGGACGTGCGTCACTGTTTTTTTCCGTCCGTCCGGGCACTTATGTCCCTGAACCGTGGTTTGAACGATCCAAATAATCGAATTATATTTAGACTTTGAATGGTATCCTCTTTGTATATAAAACTAAGCGAAGAATATGAAATCGGATCACTCTCTAACAAGAACAAAGAACGTTCTTTGGTTCGTTGATTGCCACCAATAGTGAAATTTACTTTACCAGTTAAAACAAAATTGAAATTCCCAATGGCCGTTCCATTTTTAAATAATTGTCCACGATTTTTAGGTGACGTTTTGGTAATGAGTGTGAATTTTAATGATTTTGCAATAATTTTAATTATCAGAATTTCAATACCACTGAAATGTTCTAATTCTTTTGGTTTATAATGAAATATGGAGAATGGCGGAATATTGCTAACAGCAACATATAACGGACATAAGTGTTTTACGTCTTTTTAATTTGTACTTACGATAAAGTTCCAAAGTCATCGATCAAAATTAAATTAAATGCATGAATATTCGTTACATTATCCAGTTTATCGAGAATACTACAGGACATTTTCGGCACAGTCTCGTTGTATAAATTGTGTAAAAAAATTTCTTTAACATATCTGTGTTGCTTGTTTGTTAAACTGCTCACAATTGAAAGGTAAATTTATTCGTTGCCGGTATAACTGACAAGATAATTTGTGATAATTTTGCTCAAAATAACTGAGTCTAAATCGGATTGATTTAAAACGGGTTCTTGTTGAAAAGCAATAGTCAAAGCGAAGAAATTTAGGTAAATTATTGCAATGAAGTTGCACAAATTCATTATTACTCGGAAATTCTACTGAAAATAAACGAAACACTTATTGTATGAATGAACGAAACTCAATTTACCATTTTGATTTTGGCTACGACTCATATATAACATTCACGGAAGGCAAAATCACCAATTATATTGATTTCTTTTTAATTCTCTGAATATTTGATGGCTTGATTTAATGATGCCTTAGGCACTAATAGTGACAATTCTAAAGTAGCAATGTGCATGTAGCATTGTGACAAAGCTAATCTAGAAGAAAAAAAGTCGTTCCTTATATTCGATTTTTCCATCAACAATAAATGTGGATTTTGTTGTCATCAAGGTTATTTATGTTATCATCAGCTATCATTATACATATTTGAGTTGCTTCACAATGCCGAACAAAACGAAAACCCTGAAATTCAATGTGTCATAAGCAAAATGTCTTAATTTATTGCCTAATAAGTTAAATAGTCAAGAATACGTTTGATATGTTGATATTTTGCACTAAAAATCTCCAAAATAAATACCATAACACTGATTGCATAGATAATGCCGCAAATGTGAAAAACACTGTATAAATTTTCGATTCGAAGTTTTGATGGTGGTTTTCGTTTATCTTTCAACTTGCGATGGTCTATGAAATGCTTTGTCCAAAATTCAATGAGACCTGCTTCACGTAAAGCCAATAGTTGTTTATTAAACACTTTTCTTAATGCGGATTTCTTGCGAAACAGAAACACCGGAGAGTACATGTACAGACGATCTTTGGTGAATGCCAAACGTCGACTTGGATAATTTTTCAAATTAAATCGTTTTTGTGCTAAATCTGTTGCAAGAACTACACCGACGATATCACCATTACTTAACGCTCGCAGGTTGACTGTCAATTCGGTTTGATTTGAAATCTGAATCCTGCATCGAATAAATCTGTGATTACAATTAAAAATCAAATTGATGGATTTCAATTCAACATTACCGGTCGTGGCGGAACACATTTTTAATAATTGAATACCCAGATGGGCTTGTGGTTACTTTGCAATTCGATTGTTGAATTTTCTCAACCGTATCATAGGCAGATGTGAGTCGATGTGTTCGTAAAGATGTGTACAATGCGCCTTGGTATGAATTCCGAATAATAAACCATAAAAGAATCCAAAAAAGTAGTAAAGTTCGCGCAAATGTACCGAATTTTTTGCCTCCACGAAGAATATATGGATTACAAATGCACATTCCCAACATTGCTGCCCACATATTCAAAATTGGAGTGCGATTCAGTTTACCGCCAATGATGAAATGGCGCCATTTTTGATTCAGCTTTTTCGTCAACATTATGAGAACGATGGCAATGAATAAAATAACACATACAACAATCCAAAGGCGTATTTTAAGCGGTGCTGTCAGTGGCAAGTAGCCCATAGTTTCTTTGTAACAAAAACCAATTGATGCCTGTAGATATGGATTTGACGTGGAAAAAAATAGAGATCGTTCCACTGTTGAAGCATATCCCCCAATTGTGATATTGGTTTGGCCCGAGTACACCTTTATGAAAACAGATTAAAATAAATTATTTACTGTAAAAAAAAAAATGTGAAAAACTGTTAATTTAATTCAAAATCCAAACCGAATTCATGGTCCCAGTCACTGTCCCATTTGACAGTATTCTTCCATGGTTAGTGCTGTCTTGCTTATACTCAATAGCAAAATTTAACTTTTTTGATATTTGTGTAATAATCTCAATGTCGATGCCTTGGTAAAAAGTATTTTTGCCAAAAGTATTGCATCGATTGATAAATGGATCAGTAATAGCTGGCGCAACATAGATCGGACATTTATTGAATGTGTTTAGCTTTCGTGGATACAACTCTTCAATCGGTATTTTCATATTAATCGTATAATTTAACGATGTGAATGTCATCATTTTCACATGTTTCAATGCAAAGCAATCATTTTGATATGGCATGAATGTGTACAATGACCAAAATTCATTTTCGTCTTTACATAAAACATGAGATTTCATCAAACCATTTAACCAAAACACTTCGAACATATCATTTAAACTTTCTGCACAGGTTTTTTCAGTAACAACGACAAAAAATGTTTGAACCAAATGAAATTCTTCTATCGTGTTTTTATTCACAACATTTCTGCAAAAGTGGGGAAAAAATTATTTTATTATTACCATCATTCCAGATATCTTACCTAAAAGTTTAGTAAAAAAAATTATTACTCACGAAAATGATTTGCTATCATCAACAAATATCAAATTGAATGCATTTCGGTGTTCGCGAATTGCATCGTCCAATCTGTCCAATGTGCTACAACTAAATCCACTAAATACTGCATTATTAAATAATTCAACAAATAAATCTTCTTGGAAGTTGTGATGATCATGTTCTGACGGCGCAAGAATAATTAGAACAAAGATTTTACTTTCACTGAAGTATTTAATGAGATATTTGGAAATAATTTCAGCCAGAATGACACTTTTATCTGATTTAGATTGTTCAATTTCGAAATGATTAAAAGAGTTCAACGCAAAGGTTGACGAAAGAAAAAATATTAAAAATATGGAGAAATTCATGTTGGAAATTTAAAAAATGCTGCTTAAATTACAATCGGATTCTTTCTTTTCTTTTTGACAAACGAGACAAGAGATCTTTGAGAGACTATAACTTAAACCAAGTCGAATGCTCATTTTATAGTTCTAGTTTAATTACACCAAAATTATTTTTAGAAACAAATATTTGTATACTTTGATTAATTATATCACAAATCAATTTAATCATTTAAACTAACTGTATGAATATTTGCACAGACTGAACTGTTTTGTTTTTCTTTATATAGTCTAGACAATTCTTGGTAATTAGTTCATTTTTATTAAGAGAATCATAATTAATTATTCAGAAAACCTTTTGATTTTCAAAAAACTGACACAATGGTCTGGAAAGTTTAAGCTTTCGATTAATTTCCATTAATTCAATAGGTTTCTTTCCCAATAAATAGCCATTAATGCTATCAATAAACAAAAAATATCTTATATGTTGACATTTCACGAGAAATTTTCTTCAAATTTTGGCAAAAATATGTTCTGGAATCGAATCTACTTCAAAGCTTTAAGGGGATGATCCAGCTTACATAACCAATTTCTAGGGGTTTTGACGAAACTAATTCTTTCGATTTACTAGGATTTTTTAAATTAGAAAATTCATCGATTTTCGGCTGGACCTCCTATGCGTGAGAATCTATGCTGCATCACCAGGAAATTTTGAGCCGGTATATTAATTTATTTTTATTTTCGATCTATTCCCGTGCACAAAAAACTGACTGACTATTTTGGGACAAATTGACTGTCTGTTGACTGTAAAATCAAGCAACCTTAGTTAAATTTAGTTAACGTCAATCAATTAAAGTAAGCTACCTATAGTTGACAATATTCATAGTCACCCGATAGTCAAAACGTCCCAAAATAATCGCCTGACTGACTGAGTCGATTGTTTTCCATACAAAATTTTAAAATTCATGAATATAGGTAACTATAGTCACTTACAGTCAATAGTAACTCAGTCACTTTTTTTCCACTCTGTTTATCACTTTTATTCACGCATCCAATTATTTTTTTCATACAAATTAGGATAAAAATCATATAAAAATAGCTATACATCAAATGTGATTGACTTCATCTTATTAATTATGTATAAATGTCACGTAATTTTTATTTAAAAATAACAACTTGGATATTATTATCATTTCGTAATGTAATCAAAGATTCGTATGTAGTAAAACAATATAGCTATCGATTTATGTGTACAATGTTGTGTTGGAAACATCACTATCAATCTAACACAGGCAACTCAATTTTCCCTATGAACCATACTCATCGCTACTTATCCGAATTTTATTCATATGATTATAGAAAATTTAAAACATTTTGCAAATGTTTCGTACGTTGAAATAGATCTGTTTGGAAGAGATAAAACATGCATATACGTATATCACATTGAAATGGAAAATTCAGATATATATGAATATTGTATTGTTCTGTTGATGATTTGTTTATTTATAGTCATTCGGAAATAATTATTGTCAAGTTTGAAACTTTGTTTTGCCTTTTATCATTTTCATTTATACAACATCAGACGGAAACATTGTTTTGAATGTTCAATAAAATCTGAATCTATGGTGCAACAATGGTGCCATACAAAACCAAAATTATGCTTTGTCTTTAATATTAACTGTTCGAGCAACAGTTTCAGGCCTTAAATGTTTTTCATTTCGGTTTTCCATGACCTAAAACATTCAAAAGATATTGCTCCCCAGACTTTTTAATGGTTTCATTACAGTGTCCACCAATGTCCTAAGTATTCATATCAAAAATTTCAATATTAAAATCTTAACCGTGCAGGCTTTCTTTTCAAAATACACATAAAATTGGTATCGTAAATCTTCAGAATAAATTTCGGAATATAATCCAAATGAAATCGCACACTTCATTCAAATTGTTGGTTCAATGGCATGATTGATTAAATAAATGCGGTTATTTGTAAAAGTGATTCGAATGAGAAAATCTGGTTTGCCGTTAGCAAATTGTGTATATGTAGCAAATGAAACGGACTAACAATATGCATTTTACGCGTGAAAATAATAAAATATCAATTTGATGTGCGCTCGAGAGGCAAAAGAAAAAAATTAAATGCAAACCGTGGTGGTATTAATAATAATCGTTAAAATAGCTGATAGGCAATGGATGGTGAACAATGGTTGAAAAATAATAATAATAATGATAATTAAAATCCGAAAAATCCATTTAAATTTGCAACGCAGAAATTTGGATTGTATATTTATGAGCGGTTGAGAAAGGGAAAAAAATTTTGTGAATGCCAGCATTTTGGATAAACTTTCCACCTGCCACAAACAACAGTAATCATATCGGAAAATATGCGTGTAAAACATATGCATTGCGTTTTGTAAAAGATGTTATGTGTGTATACAACGTATAAATAGAAATTTATGTGTGACGATGTTTTTTTATACGATATATTTGTTACGTTTATGGTTTTATTCCCTGTATGGTCAGTCCCATTCCTAACACAGTTCGGTGGAATGCGGAAAAACACTGTTGTCTCTTTATTTTCACGCTCGGTTTGTGTGTCTCACGATGGATCCGTTTGTATATTGGTCTTCCGATGTAAATATCAGTTACAATGGCATGTGTTGGCAACGATGCTTCTAGAAAATATTTAAATCATACCATACAGCATAGCATTATGATGCAGAATCCGTACAAAGAATAAATCTAATTTACGACCGGGTTCGTAATTCATTTTTTGTGTCAATAAAAATCCAATTACACATTTCGAAACTAAAAGGTGATAATAAATTTATTGAGGTACGTGCGACGGGATCAAGCTTACAACATTGTTAAAATTACAGCATGTATCTCTTCATCCGTTTGGAATCACTTCTTTATGAATATGCAACGATCGGCAACCGCACATCGGCTATTGTTTATCGTTCATTCAAATGCAATTATGCTGTAAATCAATGTTATGTATTTTTTGCCATGGTTTTTTTCCAACAATTTTTCTGTATATTAGCCCGCCTCCAAAAACACCTGCTACAAACGATGAATTACCATATTTATTTTAGATTTTCCGTTCGTTTGAATGCATTTGAAATTCGACAGAGAATGATTTAAAATGGATTTTCTCGCCATAAATTTCAATCAAAACCGAAGAAAAAGCTCAATTTAGTGTAAATTGCTCGGTTTTATTCGATTTTCGCGTATAATATTTTGATTGCACTCAAATCGACGTGCATTCATACAGCAAATAAAATGCATTCAACACAAATTGTAGCACGTTAAATTGAATCAAAAGACTCGAAGGAGCAATAGAAATACACAACATGAGAACAAAAACAAGCAACTTCAAGCAATGTTTCAGTACAAATTCACCTTTAGTTACGTGATTTTAATTTAATATACCAATTTATGCTTGGAAATCTTTCATTTTGTTCTTTTTTGTCCCCCCCCCCTTTTTCGTTTTAAAATTTTATAATATTAATATCTGTCCTTCCTGAATCATTTTTTTTTTTCATTTCGACTGATATGTCTTCTTCAGTTCAGGTTTCAGCTGTGATACGTGGTCGTGGTGGCAAACAATCAGTTTGCAATGGGAAATAATCCCAACAAAAACCAAGTATTTTTTTTTATTGCACTCAACCGTTTTCGTGTGTGGGTTGCACAAGCGAATCCAAACCACTTGCATGGTTTGACTATATAAAGAAAGAGAACCATGGAGTAAAACTACTGAAGAGCAATATTAACGTAAGTATCATAAACGACGGTCGTATACTTGATTTTACTATGCGATTTTGCTGTATACAATTTTTAATATGGAAACCAGATATATATTTTTTTTGTGGAAGAAAAAGAAAAAGGAAAGAGATGGAAAAAAAGAATGAAACGTTAACGGGGTATGAAGAAACGAAGCGAACACAAAATGACAATGTATTTTGAATGGCGGAGACGAAGAAATTATATGGGCAGGCAGAGAGGTTGACAATGTAAAAAAGATGTTGAAATGAAAATGGTCATAGCAACACACACTTGCACACATACTCGGCAATGCTATCAAATAACCTTTATCATTTGGTGGTGCTACTCAGTGTCATCACTTTAAAGTTACTGCCAACATATTTTTTCGCTCATCTCTCGTTTTTGCATTTGTTCCGGTGCCGGCGCTCGACGGAAATAACGAGATTCAAAGTGAAAGAGAGAGAGAGAGCAAGAAAAAAATAATCATACAGAAAGAGAAAAGATTGAAGAAATTTGCTCTACAATATTGTTATACTAAAATAAAATGACATCATTTTTCGTCATCTAGTGGTGAAATTGTGTGTCCTTTCTTTCGTAAATTG